TGGGACTCGATCCCGGGACTCCAGGATCATGACCTGAGCCGAAGGCAGTCGCTTAACCAACTGAGCCACCCAGGCGCCCTCTCATTGTTGTTTTGATTTATAATTCCCTAATGAAAAATGATGTTGAACATAGTTGTACATGTTCATTTGCCATCTGTATATTTTCTTTGGTCAGCTGTCTATTCAGATTTTTTGTCCTTTTTTTAAGATTTATTTATTTATTTGAGAGGGGCGTCTGGGTGGCTTAATTGGTTGGGTGTCTGCCTTTGGCTCAGGTCATGATCTCAGGGTTCTGGGATCGTGCCCTGTGTCAGACTCCCTGCTCAGTGGGGAGTCTGCTTCTCCCTCTCCTTCTGCCCCTCCCCGCTGCTTATGTGCTCTCTCTCAAATAAATAAATAAATAAAATCTTAAAAAAATAAGATTTTTTTCTTTGAGAGAGAGTGCGCACACATGTACATACATACACGCAAGTGAGCAAGTGGCAAAGGGGAGGAGAGGAACAAGCAGACTCACACTGAGCATGGAGCCTGACTCGGGGCTTGATCTCACGACCCTGAGAATATGACCTGAGCTGAAAGCAAGAGTCAGGTGCTTAACCAACTGAGCTACCCAGGTGCCCGGGTGTATTTCCTTTCTGTTTGTTCCACTGATATATTTGTCTATTCTTTCACCAATACCATGCTTTTTTTTTTTTTTTTAAAGATTTTACTTATTTATTTGTCAGAGAGAGAGCACACAAGCAGGGGGAGCTGCAGGCAGAGGGAGAAGCAGGCTCTCCACTGAGCAGGGAGCCCGGTGCGGGGCTTGATCCCAGGACCCTGGGATCATGACCTGAGCCGAAAGCAGACAGTTAACCAACTGAGCCACCCAGGCATCCCTACCGTGCTCTGTTTTTTATTGAGGTCTCATTGACTTACAACATTATATTAATTTCATGTGTACAACATAATCATTTGGTATTTGCATGTATTACAAAATGATCACCACAGTAAGGCTAGTTAGCATCCATCACTGTACATAGTTGTAGAATTTTTTCTTGTGATGAGAACTTTTAAGATTTACTCTCATAGCAACTTTTAAATAGGCAGTACAGTATAATTAACTATAGTTGCCATGTTGTACATTACCTACCCATGACTTACTTTATTTTTTTTTTTTAAGATTTTATTTATTTATTGGACAGAGAGAGACACAGTGAGAGCAGGGAACACCAGCAGGGGGAGTGGGAGAGGGAGAAGCAGGCTTCCCGCGGAGCAGGGAGCCGGACGTGGGGCTCGATCCCAGGACCCTGGGATCATGACCTGAGCTGAAGGCAGATGCTTAACCGACTGAGCCACCCAGGCGCCCCTCCATGACTTACTTTATTTATTTATTTTAAAGATTTTATTTATTTATTTGAGAGAGAGAATGAGATAGAGAGAGAGCATGAGAGGGGAAAGGGTCAGAGGGAGAAGCAGACTCCCTGCTGAGCAGGGAGCCCGATGCGGGACTCGATCCCGGGACTCCAGGATCATGACCTGAGCCGAAGGCAGTCGCTTAACCGACTGAACCACCCAGGCGCCCCTCCATGACTTACTTTATAACTGGAAGTTTGTATCTTTTGACTCCCTTCACCCATTTTGCCTAACCCTTACCCCCACATCTGGCAACCACCAGTCTATTCTCTGTACTGTGAGCTTGGTTTTTTTTTTTTTTTTTTTTTTTGTTGTTGTTGTTGTTGTTGTTTTTAGATCCCACATAGAAGTGAGATCATATAGTATTTGTCTTTCTCTGACTTATTTCCCTTAGCATAATGCCTTGAAGGTCCATCCATATTCTTGCAAATAGCAAGATTTCCCCTTTCTTTTATGGTTGAATAATATTCTATTGTGTGTGTACACACACACACACACACACCCCATATTTTCTTTATCCATTCATCTGTTGATGGACGCTTAGGTTGTTTTCACATCTTGGCTATTGTAAATAATGTGGCGATGAACATGGGGTGCATGTATTTCTTTGTTAGTGTTTTTTTTTTCCTTTGGATAAATACTCAGAAGTGGAATTGCTGGATGATATGATAGTTCTATGCTTAATTTTTTGAGGAACCTTCATACTGTTTTCCATAGTGGCTGTACCAGTTGCTATTCCCATCAGCAGTGCACAAGGGTTCCCTTTTCTTTACATCCTCACTAATTTGTCTTTTTGATACTAGCCATTCTAACAGGTGTGGGGTGATACATTACTGTGGTTTTGGTTTGCATTTCTCCAATGATTAGGTTACTGATTTTTTTTTTTTTAAGTAGGCTCCATGCTCAATGTGGGGCTTGAACTCACAGCCCTGAGATCAGGAGTCACATGCTCTACCGACTGAGCCAGCCAGGTGCCCCTAAATTAGTGATGCTGAGCATCTTTCCATGTACCTGTTGGCCATCTGCATGTCTTCTTTGAAAAACTGTCTATTCAGATCCTCTGCCCATTTTTTTAAAAAGATTTTTTTAATTTATTTGAGAGAGCGAGAGAGAGAGCATGAATGGTGGGGAAGGGCAGAGGGAGAGGAAGAAGCAGGCTCCCTACTGAGCAGGGAGCCCAACATGGAACTCGATCCCAGGACCCTGGGGTCATGACCTGAGCCAAAGGCAGACGCTTAACCGACTAAGCCACCCAGATTGTTTTTTGCTATTGAGTTATATGGATTTTTTTAATATATTTTGGATATTAGCCTCTTATCAGATACATGATTTACAAATATTTTCTACCCTTCTGTAGGTTGTCTTTTCATTGATGGTTGATGGTTTCCTTTGCTGTGCAGAAGCTTTTTAGTTTGATGTAGTTCTACTTGTTTATTTTTGCTTTTGTTGCCTTTGCTTTTGTTTTTTGTTTTTTTTTTAATTCATTAGAGAGAGTGCAAGCATGAGCAGGGGGGAGGAGCAGAGGAAGAGGAGAGAAGCAGACTCCCTGCCGAGCAGGAAGCCCGATGTGGGGCTTGATCCCCGGACCCCGGGATCATGACCTGAGCCAAAGGCAGACGCTTAACCGACTGAGCCACCCAGATGCCCGCCTTTGCTTTTGGTGTCAAATGCAAAAAATCATCACCAAGACTAATGTCAGAGAGCTTACTGCCTATATTTTCTTGGAGTTTTATGGTTTCAGGTCTTAGGTTCAAGTCTTTAATCCATTTTGAGTTGATTTTCGTATATGGTGTAAGATAGTGGTCCCCAGTTTCATTTTTCTGCATGTGGCTGTCCAATTTTTGCAACACCATTTATTGAAGAGACTGTCCTTTCTCCATTGAATATTCTTGCGTCCTTTGTCATAAATTAATTGGCCATATATGCATGGGTTTATTTCTGGGCTCTCTGTTTTATTCCATTGATCCATGTGTCTGTTTTTATGCCAATACCATACTGTTTTGATTACTACAGCTTTGTATGATAGTTTAAAATCAGAGAGCATGATGCCTCCAGCATTGTTCTTTTTTCTCAAGATTGCTAGTGTGTTGTAGTTATTAATTTACAAGTTTTGTACATGTTGTTAGATTTATACTTAAGTATTTCATATTTCTGAGTGATTATGAATGATTTTATATTTTTTATTTTGGAGTCCACATTTTAATTGCTGACATAGAAATACAGTGGGTTTTTGTATTGGATCTTGTTTGCCATGACTTTCAATTATTAGTTCTAGGAGGTTTTTCTTCTTTTGGGTATTTTTTTGTGATTTTCTCCATAGACAATCAGGTCATCTATAAATAGGGACATTTTGATTTTTTCTTCCCTATTCTGTATACCTTTCATTTCCATTTCTTTCCTTATTGCACAGTATTAGAACTTCTGGCACTGTGTTGAATAAGGATTGTGAGAATGGACATTCTTGCCTTGCTGTTAATCTTATCATTCACCATTAAGTATAATGTCAGCTGTAGTTTTGGTTTAGATGCTCTTTATCAAATTGAAGAAGTTCCTGTCTATTCCTATTTCTATTCATATTTTTTGCAGAATGAGTGTTGAATTTTGTCAAATTTTTTTTTACATTGGTTGATGTGATCATGTGATTTTTAAAATCCTTTTCATGTGGTGAATCACATGGATTGATTTTTTTTTCTCTTGAAATACAGAATTTTATTGAGAAACTGTTTAAAGTGGAAAAAAACCCTGTCAAGAAGGACCAGGTGGAAAATGGGTTCCCAATAAAATGGAATTTTAGGGCAACAAAAGTCTAAAAGGCCACAAAAGAGAAATAGCACCACTGTTATTTGAACAATGGCTAGTTACTTGCATTTTTTGGCATTGTTAATTACTGAATCTGGGTTTTCCTCTGAATTCCACACAGAGCATGCACTACACAACAATTTTATCATAAAATATCTGCTTTCTACACACATTTTAGGACAAACTACCACCAGGGACAAATCAATACAGATACATCAGGGGCTGAACAATCTCAGTAGTGGTTGACACACATTTTGCAGAATTCTGCCAAACAAAGGAACTGAATAGGCTAAGGGCAAAGCAAATGAGGAAGAGTTAAGGAATGAAATATTTCAAATATTAATAATTAATTCAGACACGGTACTGTATCTTCTGCAAAAGAAAATTAACATTTAGGAACATGCTAACGAATTTTATCTCCAAAGAGATTAGTGCACTGGCAAAGTATTCTGATAACAGTGGAGGGCGGTGGACAGCAGGTACCGAGAACACCCAGCCTTGCAGATCCCAAGGTAGCGATGGCCTTCACTGGTCACTCCCTCTGCCAGAAGTCCAGAAAGAACTTGCAGGCGTGAACACCTGCCTGCTGAACTTACACTCTAAGCAGCAAACTTTAAGGAGCCAAAGAGGAGTCCCCAGTGGGCGAGGGGAGCAGAGAAGAGAAACATGTTCAATGTAAACTTAAAAGACAGTAAAATGGGACATGACCCCCATTCAAATCCCAGAGATGTGGGCAAGTCCCCCAAAGTACTTGTTAGATTTAAAAACTGCGGCATACCTCATTTCCCAAGAAACACAATACATGGAAATTTCGGGGATAACTGGAAAATCGTCAGAGAAATGTTCAATGAAATTCAAGCTCTTCAACTCAAACATCCCAGGGCTGAAACACACCCTCTATTCATCCAGGCAACAATGCCTCTTACTTCTTAGAGCAGGGATACTATTGGTCAAGGACACCAAATGGCTTTACAGAGCAACTTTTTAAACTTTCCTTTTGGGCCAAGGTCTAGGTCTTTGAGGATTCAAGCAGCCCTGCAAGGCCTGTGAACAGCAGATTCCAAAGGTCCAGAGGTCTGGCCCTTCTTCCTTCCCAGATACAATGTCAAACATGTAAAATCTCCTGTCATGTTACATTTTATATTTTGAAATATGGAAGCATATTTTAAATACTCTTCAGGCATTTATTTATTAAAACGTTCTCTGCCAAGATTTCACATTAGATTAAAATTCAAATCAGTCTTTACATTTCTCTACTGAGGTTTCCACCTCAGTGTATCACATAAAAACACCTTCTCCAGCAATCAGTGTTACCAGCGTCCACACGGTGAGCCCCATGGTCAGCCTCTTTGTTCCCTAGGTGACCCAACTAGATGTTAATACTGCTCAGCTACAGGGTAAAAGCTCCTAACTCAAACTCATTGGAAAAGGGATGAAACTTCTGCACAGTGCACTTTAAGAAGAGGTACTGTTTGCTCATGAAAAGAAACCAGTGAGTCCTCTAAGCATAATAAAAGGGGGTATTTTACAGTTAAGCACATGATTTGGAGTGAAGAATTCGGATGTTGCTCTGCTGGTCCAGGCCGTTAATACTCTTCTTGTTCCTCCTGTGGGCCCCCTTCATCAGGTATCACAAAGCCCTCATCTGTGGCATACAGAATGTCCACGATCCTCTGCAATACTGGATTGTTTTCCCCCTCATTCTCCTGGCAAATCAATTCAATGTTCCTTAGCTTTCCAAAGTAGAAGTCTCTTTCTTTCTCCAAGTCTTCGATGGTAAGTTTCAATACGTTGACCTGCTGCATCAGTTCAGCTGCTTGATCATCCCCGCTGCCCACACCAGGATTCTTTCGCCCCCCCCCCCCCCCCGCCGAGCCTGAGGGGGTTCAGTAGTTCTGTGTGTTGCAATGGGCCTCTGTGGAGCTGCACTGCTAGAGCTGAGAGGTTTCTTCGGTTTTTTTCAGAGCTGGAGCAACAAGGGAGGGAGCCACTGCAGTTTCTTGACCTTGTCTGGCAGCTATGGGGTCATAGCCTTTTCCATCATAGTTTGCATCAAAAAACTTCTTGAACCACTGAACAAATTCAGAATTGTCCTGAAACTTTCCTTTTACTAATATGTCCACAGGAATTATTTTGTCAACGCCCAGTCTCTTAAAACCTGCTTGTAGTATTTTGAAGTTCTGGATGTATTCATGTTCTAGCTTAGCCTGGAATTTCACTTTCTTCAAGGCAGTGGAGCCAGGGAACAACATGTCCATAAACTGACAGTAGGCAGCCCCTGAGCACAACTGTTGGATCTTCGTCAGATTCAACTGCAGAGACTCATTGATCCAGGCCAGCATGTCGTGTCGACTTAGGTTATCACTGGTGACTGATGTTGAATATACGTTCACTGCCATCTTCGGCTCTCGGCGGGACCGCGTCCACGGCCTGTGCCTGGCTTCGGTTCCATCCGCGTCTCGTTCAAACTGCCCACGCGATGACCTCACACGCACCGCCCCCCCCGTTACGCGCCGACGTACAGCTGGATTTTTTTTTTTTAAAGATTTTATTTATTTATTTGACAGAGAGATAGCGAGAGCAGGAACACAAGCAGGGAGAGTGGGAGAGGGAGAAGCAGGCTCCCCGCGGAGCAGGGAGCCTGATGTGGGACTCGATCCCAGGACCCTGGGATCATGACCTGAGCCGAAGGCACACGCTTAACGACTGAGCCACCCAGGCGCCCTGGATTGATTTTTTTTTAAATGTTATTATATCATCTATTTATTTGAGAGAGAGAATGAGAGAGAGAGCATGAGAGGGGGAAGGGTCCGAGGGAGAAGCAGACTCCCCGCTGAGCAGGGAGCCCGATGCGGGACTCGATCCTGGGACTCCAGGATCATGACCTGAGCCGAAGGAAGTCGCTTAACCAACTGAGCCACCCAGGCGCCCTGGATTGATTTTTTAATATAGAACCTGTCTTGCATTCCTGGAATAAACCCCAGTTGGTCATGGTGCATAATTCTTTTAATATCTTGCTGAATTATATTTGCTAATATTTTGTCAAGGATTTTTGCCTATATATTCATGAGTGATATTGGTGTGTAGTTTTCTTTTTTATACTGTATTTGTCTGATTTTGTAATCGGGGGATGCATTAGTTTCATGTGGTAGCGGCAACAAATTACCACAAACTTGGTGTCTTAAAACAACAGAAATTTATTCTCTCATAATTCTGGAGGCCTGAAGTCCAAAAAGAAGTATCACTGGACCAAAATCAAGGTTTCGGTAGGGCTGTACTCGCTCCAGAGCCTTCAGGGGAGAATCTATTCCTTACCTCTTCTAGCTCCTGGGGGGCTGCAGCTATTCCTTGGCTCCATCATTCCATTCTTATGGCGAGCATCTTCAAATCTGTTCTGTCTTCACGTCACTGCCTTCTGAGTGTGTGTGTGTCAAATTTTCTTTTACCTGCCTCTTACTGGGATACATGTGATTGCATTGAGGACCCACCTGGATAATTCAGGATACTCCTCTCATCTCAGGATCCTTAATCCCATCTGCAAAGACCCTTTTGTTCTTGCCATATAAAGGAGATATTCACAGGTTGCCAAGATTAGGATGTGGATATCTTTGGGGGGCCCTTTTTAGCCTATCACAGGCAAATACTAGCTTTATAGAATGAATTAGAGTTACCTCCTCTTCTTTTTCCTGTAAGAGGTTTTGTAATTGGTGTTAATTCTTTAAAAGAATTTTGTAAAATTCTGGGGCGCCTGGGTGGCTCAGTCATTAAGCGGCTGCCTTCGGCTCAGGTCATGATCCCGGGGTCCTGGGATTGAGCCCCGCATCGGGCTCCCTGCTCCGCGGGAAGCCTGCTTCTCCCTCTCCCACTCCCCCTGCTTGTGTTCCTGCTCTCGCTGTGTCTCTCTCTATCAAATAAATAAATAAAATCTTAAAAAAAAAAAAAGGATTTGGTAAAATTCTCCAGGAAAACCATCTGGGCCAGAGCTTGATTGATTGATTTCTTTTTTGGTGAGTTTTAAATTATGGATTCAGTTTCCTTAGTAGTTCTTGGGCTATTCAAATTATCTCTTTCATATCAGGCAATTTGTGGTAGTTGGTTTTTTTTTAAGAATTAGTCTAGGGCGCCTGGGTGGCTCAGTTGGTTGAGCGACTGCCTTCGGCTCAGGTCATGATCCTGGAGTCCCTGGGATGGGGTCCGCATTGGGCTCCCTGCTCAGCAGGGAGTCTGCTTCTCCCTCTGACCTCCCCTCTCTCATGCTCACTCTCTCTCATTCTCTCTCTCAAATAAATAAATAAAGTCTTAACAAAAAAAGAAGTAGTCCAGTTCATGGGGTGCCTAGGTTAAGCATTTGCCTTCGCTTGGGTCATGATCCCCAGGGTCCTGGGATCAAGCCCCGAGTCGGGCTCCCTGCTCAGCGGGGAGTCTGCTTCTCCCTCTCCCTCTGCCCCTCCCCCTGTGCTTGTGCTCTCTCACTCTCTCCTAAATAAATAATTAAATAAAATCTTAAAAAAAATTAGTCCATTTCATCTAAGTTTAATCAGATGGATATATGAAGAATTGTTTATATTTGCTTTAGTATCCTTTTGGTGTCTGCAGGGGCTGTAGTAATATCCTTTGTTTCATTCCTGATACTCGTAATTTGTGTGTTCTCTTTTTTTCAGTCTTGCCAAAAGTTTGTTAATTTTATTGATCTTTTCAAAGAACCACCTCTTTGTTTCTTTGATTTTTATCTATTATTTTTCTGTTTTCAACTTCATTGATTTCTGCTCCTTTCTGTTTCCTTCCTTCTGCTTGCTCTGGGTTTATTTTGGTCCTTTAAAAAAATTAAAATATAGGGGCCCCTGGGTGGCTCAGTCGGTTAAGCATCTGCCTTCTGCTCAGGTCGTGATCCCAGGGTCCCTGAGATCGAGCCCCACATCTGGCTCCTTGCTCAGCGGGGAGTCTGCTTCTCCCTCTCCCTCTGCCCGTCCTGCTCATGCTCGCTCTCTCTCGTTCTCTCTCTCTCTCTCTCTGTCAAATAAATAAATAAATTCTTTAAAAATATTAAAGTATAATTGATATATAACATTGTGCAAGTTTAAGGTGTACAACCTGTTGGTTTGATACATTTATATATTGCAATATGATTACCACTGTAGTGTTTGCTAACATTTCTATCACATCACATAATTACCATTTCTTTTTTGTGGTCGGAACAATTTACATCTAGTTTATTAACAGCTTTGAAGTCTATAATATTGTATCCGATAATCAACTTGCTGTGCGTTAGCCCTCTGCCCTCCAGTACTTAGCTACTAGTTTGAAGTTTGTACCCTTAAACAACATATCTTCAGTATGGTCTTTTTTTCCCTAGGTTTTTGAGGTGGGACCTTAGATTGCTTATTTGAGACTTTCCTCTTCCAAACGTATGCATTTAGTGCTATATACTTTGCTCTCAGCACTGCTTTAGATGTGTTCCACATTGTAAATGTTGTATTTTCATTTTCATTCAGTTCATTGTATTTTTTTATTTCCTTTGAGACTTCCTCTTTGAACCATAGATTATTAGAAATGTGTTATTTAGTTTCCAAGTGTTTGGAGATTCTCTTGTTATCTTTCTGTTATTGATTTTTTTTTTAAGATTTTATTTATTTATTTGCCAGAGAGAGAGTGCAAGAGAGCACAAGCAGGAGGAGCGGCAGACGGAAGGAGAAGCAGACTCCCCACTGAGCAAGGAGTCTGATGTGGGACTCGATTCCAGGACCCTGGGATGATGAGCTGAACTGAAGGCAGATGCTTTACTGACTGAGCCACCCAGGCGCCCCTTGATTCATTTATTTATTTTAAAGCTTTTATTTATTTATTTGAGAGAGAGAGAGAGCACGAGCAGGGGGAGGGCAGGCAGAGGGAGAGAGAGAGAAGCAGGCTTCCTGCTGAGCAAGGAGCCTGATGCAGGCCTCGATCCCAGGACCCTGAGATCATGACCTAAGCTGAAGGCAGATGCTTAACGACTGAGCCACCCAGGCGCCCCCCCGCCTTGGTTTCTTTTTTTAATAAAGATTTTATTTATTTATTAGAAAGAGAGAGAGTACGAATGGGGAGAGGGGCAGAGAGGGAAAAGCAGACTCCCCGCTGAGTGCGGAGCCCAATGCAGCTCGATCCCAGAACCCTGAGATCATGACCTGAGCCGAAGTCAGACGGTTAATGGACTGAGCCACCCAGGCACCCCCCTGTTATTGATTTCTCATTTCATTTCAGTGCGGTCAGGGAAAATTGCTCATTTTCTATTTAGTTGTTCTGTGAATTGAAAGAAGGGGCATTGAAGTTTCCAACTATAATTTGCCTTTTTTAAAAAAGATTTATTTAATTTTAGCCAGAGAAAGCATGTACATGCACCATTGGAGTGAGGGGCAGAGGGGGAGGGAGAGGGAGAGAAGCAGATTCCCTGCTGAGCACGGAGCCCACCAACAATGTGGGGCTTGATCTGTGGGGCTCAATCTCATAACCCTGTAATCATGACCTGAGCCAAAATCAAGAGTCGGTCCCTCAACTGACTGAGCCACCCATGGGCCCCTAATTTGTCTCCCCCCCGCCCCAGTTTTATTAGCTTTTTCTTTTGTGTTTGCTGCATACATATTTAGGATTGATTTGTCTTTTTTTTTTTATTGTTAGATGTCTTCTATCTCTGGTAATTTTTTTCTCTGAAGTCTACTGTATCTGATACTAATATAGCTACTTTTGCTTTCTTTTTTTCCAGCTTTCTTGAGGTATAATTAACAACATTTCTGCTTTCTTTTGATGAATGTTTGCATGATCTATCTTTTTTCATACTTTTACCTTCAACCTGCCTATATTGCTGTATTTGAAGTGACTTCCTTTTAGATACCATACACTTGGGTGATGTTTTTAATTTTTTCTACCAATTTCTGTCTTTTTTAAAAAAAGATTTTATTTATTTATTTGACAGAAGGACGGCGAGAGCGGGAACACAAGCAGGGGGAGTGGGTGAGGGAGAAGCAGGCTCTTTGCTGAGCAGGGAGCCCGATGTGGGGCTGGATCCCAGGACCCCGGGATCATGACCTGAGCCGAAGGCAGACGCTTAATGACTGAGCCACCCAGGCGCCCCTACCAATTTCTGTCTTTTAATTGGTGCAGTTAGACCATTTACATTTATTTTACTTTTTATTTTGTTATTTTTTTAAAGATTTATTTCTCTGAGACAGAGAGAGAGCGTGTTCGAGCATGCATATGCACACGAGCAGGGGAGGGGCAGAGGGAGTGGGAGAGAATCTCAAGCAGACTCCCCACTGAGCACATAGCCTGATGCAGGGCTTGATCCCACCACCCTGAGATCATGACCTGAGCTGAAACCAAGAGTCAGAGGCTCAACCGACTGAGCCATATAGGCGCCCCTAGACCATTTACCTTTAATGTAATTAATGATATATTA